AAGGAGGGACAGATGGACAGCATCCTGGGCTGCCTGAGGAGGGATGGATGCATGGACAGCATCCTGGCCTGTCAGAGTGAGCACAGCCAGAAGATGGAGAGAAGTGATTGTGTCTCTTTACTTGGCATTTGTTAAGAGACCCCATCAAGAGCATTCTGTGCAGTTTGGGATTGCCCAGCACAAGTCAAACATGGATCAGTTGGAGAGGGGTTAGCAGAGAGCTGCTGGGAATAGGAAGCTCAGGAGGATGGAGAACTTGGCCAGTGAGCAGAGGCTGAAGGAGCTGGGCTTGCTCAACCTGGAGAAGGGAAGGTTATGGGGGATCCAAGAGCAGCCTGACAACACTGGCCAAAATGTTATCAAAGATGAAAGCAGGCTCTTTACAGAATGTGACAGTGATTTAATTAATTTCATTTAGAGTAACTTTGCCTTTCAAAATGCCTGTTACATGTGTAATCATCTTAATTGACAAACCTCAAAACGGGTGCTGACCCAGCCCTGTTTCCTAAGGGGTGGCTACACTGGGAATTGTGTGTGCTCTGCTGTTCCCCCTGAGCTGGCAGCACTCACACCAAGCCCCCTGCCTGCTGGTGCAGCTCTGGGTCCTCAGACACTTGTGCTCTCTCACCCACCCTGTGCCCCTGCAGGGACACCTACAGCGACCGCAGCGGCAGCAGCTCCCCCGACCTGGAGATCACAGAGCTCAAGTTCCCCTCAGTCAATCACGACTGATCCCTGGTAATGTTTAATGATCTCAGCCTCTTCCTTGGGGAAAAAATTACTTGCCCAGTCTTTTCTCCTGGCATCTGACTTGCACATTGTTTGGTGGAAGGCTGGCAGGCCATGGGGTGTGCTGGTGCTCACACCCGTGTTCCAGCTGTGCTGAGGGGTGGGCAGTGCCCCTGGGGAACAGATGGGGGTGGTGTTCCCTTAGCAAACTGACACATAATGAAGTATAAATACACAGGCAGGAGTTTGGGATTAAATTCAGGTTAAGAACCAGAGCACCACTGAAGCACACACTCCTGAAAACGGGGGCAGAACTGAGCAAGGGGTTCCTGGACTTAGGAAGCTCAGTATTTTGGAAGCAGTCTCTCACTGATGTCAAAGAACATCTTGGAAGTAGCTGTTCTGCCCGTCTTCTGGGACAGCAGTTCTGTCAGACCAGGGGCTCAAGCTCTGGTCTGTAATGGCTGCAGATGTGAAAAATGGAGGTACACAATCCAGGGAAGGAGGGGACACTAAAACCTGGCACTCAGACTGCACCAGCAGGACAGGCAGACTTAAATGTCAAGGGAGTTCTCCCTCTGTGCAGTAGATGATCATGGATGTGACCTTCTCCTGCTCTGGCTGGTCCGTGTGCTGGTTTTGGAGGAGTTGAGCAGCATCTGTGGACATGCCTGTGGGGTGAGAGGAGGCTCCACTGCTGAGTGCCAGGGGACCTTCCTCCCCCTTCCCTTGGTCTGACAGGCACGTCTAAACTGCAGGGGGAAAGCAGGGTCGGCCCCTGTCTGGCACAGGAGTGCTCCCCACCCCTGGGCACAGGACTGGGACTGGATGCTGGGATCGCTGGGTGCTGGGCTCTTCCACAGCCTGGTACAACACTTAAGAGCTGAAGAATTCTCCCTGTAAATTTTTATCCTAAAGACACTGTGAACCTTTGGCTCCCTGACAGCATCCTGTGTGCTCTGGAGGCTTGGGGGCTGTCCCCAGATGAAGCTGTAGGAGAGGGGCAGTGGCAGTGTGGGGTATCCCCAGGGACATGGCTCAGCCTGACTGCAGTGCTGTGCAGCTCCAGCCTGTGGCTCTCTCCTGTCAGTAACTCCTGCTCCTTTTCCCTCTCCAGGTGTGTCCTTGCTGCAGAGAGGAGTCTCCGTTCGGTTTTCCAGGCGTTCTTACAGCAATAGCTTCAACACCCTCAGCTTTGGGCTTTCCTGACTTATGGGTTTATAATTTTCATTCTGAGATCCTGTCCCTTATTTCCTCAGCTCTTCTGTCCTTCCTTTATTTTCCATGTAGATCCTGGTTATCTGTGGAGGAGAGTTCACACAGGCTCCTCCAGACTTCTTCAGTTCCTTCAGTTTGCACCAGCTTGGAGATCAAAGCAAACTGGGGCATGGGGATTCGATGTGGAGGGGAATCCCATGGCACATGTCCTTCCCAGCACAGGGAATGCTGGCATCAGGATGCCTTGGACACTGACAGTGGAGTTGCTTTCTCCAGCCTTTCTGCTTCCTCCTCACTCTTTGCTTACTAGTGATATTATGTGGATGGCACAAGTTTTTGGGGTTTGGCTCAGTGCCTGAGCCAGGCTGTGCTGCAGAGGAGGGCTCTGGGCTGGGCAGGCTCATGCAGCCTTTTTGAGTTTTTTTTGGGGGGAAAGAAGGATGATTTATTCTTTTTTGGGTTTTTTTTTCAGTAGTATTTACAAACCTTTGGCACTGGTGCTCTCAGTGCATTCATTGCCACAATGAATTTGTAATCAGGAAACTTCTCCTGGAACAGTGTTACTCTGGAACACGATCAGCTCTGCCTGACGTGTCACTGCAGGGATGTGAGTAACTGGGATCAAGTTGGGGGGGTGGAAAGCAAAGCTGCCAGGAAAGCCCTGACCCGAGGGGTCCGTGCTCCCGGAGCTGCTCCTTGGGTTGGGACCCTCCCACCCCTTGCATCAAGGGGGAGGTGAGAACAGTGAACCACTGAACCACTTCCACTGCTGCCTTGAGCTGCTCCTGCTGTCCCTGGCCTTGGACACAACAGTTCCTGGTGCTTTTTCATGGATTGGAAGCAGAGCCTTCCACTGCCTTTTTGTACAGTCGGAGCCGTGTGTCCTGTGCTCCCGCCATTCCCAAGGGCTGTTCCTGAGGGAGGGTGTTCCCCATCCCCAGGTGCTGCCCGGCTCTGGGGCTGGGTGATGCTGTGCAGTGCTGAGGGATGGACTCTCTGGTTCCCTGCCTCGTGCTGCCATGGAACACTGTGTTTGGCTGGTGGGGATGAAGAGGAAAGGAAGGAAGGAATGAAGTGTCTGCACTGTCTGAGGTGTCACACGCTCAGAACTCGGCAGGGCCTGGGAGTCTGGGGAGAGCTGCACAGTCAGACCTGGCTGAGCCCTGTCCTGTCCCTCCTCAGTGATCTCCTCCCCAGCCCCCCTTGCTTTTGTCCTCAGTTGTTTTCAGTATTCCCTGTAAAGCTGCTGTGAGCCCAGAGAACTTTGAGCATTCCTCGTGTGCCAATTCCAGCTGTTCTGGAGGAATGATTGAGTTTGATGCTCTGGTACTGCCCAGCCCCTGCCCTTGGCGTGGGGCAGGGTGAGATTGTTCCTCAGCTGCAGCACAACTGTGTTTCCTTTCTCCCGAGATGTTTTTGTTTTGGCCAAAACTGTGCCACTTACTCAGTCATTAAATGCTCATTTTTAACAAACTGAACCAGGAGCCCCCAGCTCGTTCTGTTCCTGCCCTGCTCGGAGGGAGGGAGGGAAGGGACGGGACTGAGGGACAACTCAATTTTAAATGAGTCCTCTCTAAGTCAGGGAAAATTTGTGAGCTGCACTCACAGTGGTTCTAGATGTGGATTTCCAAAGGCTGGCTGAAATCATCTCCCTCCAGCAGCAGAGAAACCTGGGCTGAGCCTGCAGGTGCTGCAGGGCAGAGGAGTCACTTCCTAATGGAAGAATGAGGCTGCAACTCCCCTGGGAGGGTTTGCCCCTCCTTGCTCCACAGCTGGGGTTGTTGGCCAGACCCCCCTCAGGGCTCCTGCTGTGGGGGTGTGGGGAGGGTCGGCCCCATGGCAGCCCCCGGGGCACGGGCAGTGTACCCAGGGAGGTGGAGGCTCTGCTTTGGTGCCCACCCTGAGCTGCTGCATTTTAGCTCCTGTGCTGGGCAGGCAACAAAAACGAGCATTGAAAGTTGAAGATGCAGTGAAATTTTGCAAATAAATTTGGCCTCTGCAGGGCTTGTTTCAAGGGCTTGAGTTTGATGGCTGTGGGACCTGGCCAAGGCACCGCTGTGCCCCAACAGCACCGTCCCTTTCAGCCCCAAACGTGGATGGGTCCAGCTGCCCCCCGGGCTCTGCTGCCGGGGCCCTGCACTGTGCCAGCAGCCCCAGGGGTGAGTCTGGGCCAGAGGCACCTCAACAGGGACCCCGCGGTGCCCAGTAAGCCCTGAGGCTGCAGGAGAGACCCGGGGCTTCTGCCCCCTCACCTGGGGCTGGACCAGCCAAGACATTCCAGCACCCACCTCGCTGCCCTCCCTGGGGCTGGGTGTCCTCCCTCCCTCCCTCCAGCAGCCCCTCCGGGCTGTTCCAGGCGCAGCTCGAACTGGGACACAAACCCCGGCTCAGCACATGGGGTGAGACCCCCCGGCCGCGGTGCTGTGGGGGAGCAGCCCCTGGTGTGGGGCCGGGCCGGGCCCCCTCGGCCTCTGCCCCTCCCGTGGGACGGAGCAGCCCCCGAGGGCCCACAGGGGCTCTGGGCCGACCTGCCCCAGTGTGGGGTCCGGGCCACGGCACTGTTCTTTTGGGGAGCAAGGTGGGGGCTCAGAGCTCATCCTCCCCCCCTTCTCCTCCCTCCCCGTCTGGCTGCAGGGGCTGTTTGCCCACCCCGGTGCCTCAGGGCTGAGCTGTGCTGGCAGCGATGGGTTCAGGGGCTCGGCTGGGACTGCTCCTGCCCCAACACCCCCTTCAAGCTCCAGACAGGGACAAGGAGTCACAGAAGCCTCTGTCAGCACGGGCAGCACCGCGAAGAGCAAGAGGGGGGTCAGGCTGGGGGGACGGGAGGGGCTGGGCAGAGATCGGGAGGGCGCGACATCCATCGCCACCCTGCGAGTGCCTCCGCTTCCCTCAGCCCCGGAGGAAGGGCAGGGGAGGCAGGGAGGGCAGGCAGGGAGCCGCGGGTCTGTCCTGCACCAGCACCCACTGCCTGTCCCTGCGCTCCCCCCATGGCAGGTGCCTGTGGGAGCCACTGCAGGGCCCAGCCCAGCGCTCAGTGCACAAACAGCGGGGAGGAACTTGGTATCCTTTTATTTATAAACAGATCAACGTAAAATAAGTGCAGAGGAAAGCACTGGCTGACCCTGCCAGGCCCTGGGTGCAGCGGGACCAGTGCGGGTCACACCGAGGGGTGTCCCAGGCCCAGCACGGGCTACGCTCTGTGACAAAAAGCCTTTTGCCTTCTCATTACTTTGGGCGTTGGGGTATTTTTTTATTTATTTATTTTTTTTTTTTTTGCAACTTTGCCCCTTAGGGGTAAACCTGACCCAGTGCAAGAGCCTGGAGGGTTGGTCACCGCGGGGGCCCGTCCTGCTGCTGGCCAGGGCCCTCGAGGCTGGCGGGGGGTGCTGAGCCGTGGCTCTGGATGCAGAGGGTGAGCTGAGGGCAGGAGGAGGAAGTGCTCGGAGTGGAGATCCCGTCCCAGCCCTTTGGTCACTGCAGGGGAGCGTGGCACGGGCGGGTCTGTGCTGGGGGTGTGTGGGGACACAGCGGGGTCAGCCCCCGCCTGCCCCACCAGCCCTGCCCCGGCTCGGCCTGCTCAGGGGTCTGGGCAGCCCCTGCCCCACAGGCAGCCCCGAGCTGGCACTGCTGCCCCGGGGACACGGCGCTGGCACAGCCGGTGGCCTCCACACTCCTCGTGCAGCTGCAGGAACGTGTCTGGGACCGCGGGAACCGCTCAAGTGCCATCAAAAATAAATACATTAAACTGCCTGAGACCAACAGGGGCCCCGGGCAGGACAAAGCCCTCACAGGAAGAGCAACATCGGGACGGGTCACCACCCCGGGATCCTCTGGGCAGACCCAACACCCTCTCACACGCTGAGCTGGGACGGACCAAAACTCTAGAGGAGCGGGAGTGCCCCTGGGAAGACAAACCTTGGCAGCTCTGGCTAAAAATCACCAAGAGTTGCGAGTTCAACACAGGTAGAAAAATCATCTCATCGTTTTAAACACACAACTCCTTAGTAAAAAAAAAAAATTCCAAAAGAGAAAATTAAAAAAAAAATAAAAGGCGAGAAGTATCAACCGAGTCCTGCAGCATCCAGGCAGCCTCCAACACGTGCCAGGGGCACCCAGCCCTGCTCCTTGGCTCTCCCAGCTCACTCCACGCTCCCAGCCAGTGCCGTGTGGCCTTTCCAGTCTGGAATAAATATGAAAGCTTCCATCCCTGGCCTGGCGTGCCCAGCTGGAGCCGGGTCTGAAGCCAGGGGCAGGTAGAGCTGAGGGGGGTGAGTGGCCCCCGGGCTCCCCCCGGTGTGGAAGGCGGGGCCGGGGCGGGGGATGCTCCGAGCTCACCGTGGTGCCGCAGGGCACAGTCGGGGCACGGCCCCGCTGCAGCGCCCCCAGTGCCTGCCCCGAGCAGGCGAGAGGGAGGAGGTGGTGCCAGTGCCCAGTCCCCACAGACTGCCCAGAGCTGCTGCTCCATCCCGGGGAAGCAGGACCAGGAGCCCACGAAGGAGTGCTGGGAGAGACCCTCTGCTTCCAACAGGGGACCCACGGCTCGAGTCTGGCGTGAAGCCCAACTGTGCCGGGCTCCTCCCGCTGGGGGCGGGGGCAGCGGGACCCGGGGAGGGCCGGGCTATCGGCGAGGTGTCCGTCTGTCCCCTGGGGGGGCCGGGCTATCGGCGAGGTGTCCGTCTGTCCCCTGGGGGGGCCGGGCTATCGGCGAGGTGTCCGTCTGTCCCCTGGGGGGGCCGGGCTATCGGCGAGGTGTCCGTCTGTCCCCTGGGGGGGCCGGGCTATCGGCGAGGTGTCCGTCTGTCCCCTGGGGGGGCCGGGCTATCGGCGAGGTGTCCGTCTGTCCCCTGGGGGGGGGTGGGCTATCGGCGAGGTGTCCGTCTGTCTGTCTGTCTGCGGTGTAAATGGGGTGTGTGCATGCGAACCTGTCGGCAGGTGAGCGCGGGTGGGGGTGGCCAGGAGCGGAGCTTCCAGGATCTGTCCTGCCAATGTCCTCTCAGAACTTGCCTTGCTTTAGCTTGTCGATGTGGTAAGTGAGCTTCAGGGCTGGCCCCAGCTTCAGCCCCATGTACTTCATCATCATGTCGCTCCGAAGCAGGAGCAGGGCCTTCCCGTCGATCTCCTGCAAGGGGGAACCAACAGCGCTTGTGACGCCCCTGGAAGCCCCTCCCTGCTCGCTGCGGCAGCGGGGCTGGGTGTCAGCCCTGCTCAGCAGCATCCCAGCAGGGACATCTCAGCATGGACAGCACTGCATCCACCCTGCTCCAGCACAGGCCTCAGCCCCAGACCCCACGTGCAGCAGGGAATCTGCTGGGTGATCAACATCCAGGAGCATTGGCCAGAGGGGCAGCAAATCCTGAAGGGAGGTGGGGAGGGAGGAAAAAGGAGGTTTTGCTGACAGGGGAATGATGGAGGCAGGGGAGCAGTGGCTCGTTCCAGGGCACTGTCACCCCAGCACAGGAGCAATTGTGACAACAGCCCTGCCATGACACACAGCTCTGAGTCACGGATGGAGATGGAGGTGAAGGAACAGACCCTGAAACTCAAAGTCTGCGCTCTGTGACTGGATATTATGAAAACATTTCTTCCCTGAAAGGGTGGTCAGGTACTGGCACAGCTGCCCAGGGCAGTGGTGAAATCACCATCCCTGAAAGTGTTCAAAACCCTGTGGATGTGGCACTTGGGGACATGGTTTAGTGGTGACCTTGGCAGGGCTGGGGTCTTATTGGACTCTATGAGCTCAGAGGCTCTTCCAACCTGAATGATTCTGGGTTTCTGTTCTGTGTTTCTGGAGTTCACAGCACAGTCCCAGCCACTGGCAGAGAGTGGTGAAGCTCCTCATCCCCAGCAGGGCTGATTCCAACACAGCAGCTTCCAAAGCAGCTGATGCTTTACAGCACAGTCCAGGTGTGTCCCACCTGAGGCTCAGGAAGGGATGGATCATGAGCTCAGAATAACCAGAGAACAGCTCTGTCCTTGGCATCTGCAAGTGGAAGTCTCCCAGTCCTTTTCAGTGCTCCTTTCCATCACCCAGTCCAGGCTGGGGCCAGAGCTTTGCACTGGACAGTTTTCCACGAAAAAATGTTAATGGACTTATAAAAGAAAAATAAAAATCACCACCTCAAACAACAGAATGTCCTGCCCTATGTCAATGCCCAGTTAGGTTTCAGCCTGATGAGATCTCCAGGGATCTCCAGTACCAGGTTTGATCTGGTTTTCCCTTCTGCAGATAAAAGCAAGGTTCTCCCCAGGACTTCCAATCCAGGGCACTTCCCACCCTTGGCAGCTTTTGCATAATTAAAACAAACATTTTTCAATTACTGGTGGTTCTAAAATAGAGCTAATTAAAAAAGGGAGTGTTGTGTCAGCACAGCCCAGAGCAGGATGCAGCGCTGGGTGTTTGCTCCCAGGGCTCTTCCGACTTCCCAAGCAGCACCAGATAGAACATGGACTCAATCAAAATGCAGAGGGAAGACAGTTCTGGCAGGAATCAGGACATGGAGCTGCCAAACCTCTTGTAGCTTTAATGGTACAAACTCCATGCTGTGTCTGCAGCTGTTCTACACTTACAGATGTGCACAAGGAGCAGAGCCTTAGGGGACTCCCTGCTATAGGAAACGGAGTTGAGCAGCGATGCACTCCATGAATCCCACTTGGAATGTGCTTCTTGACAGGAGAAATTTGCCATGAGGTGAGTATTAGGCTCCAGGGTGAGCAGGGTTTGTGTTTTCAGCACTGGGATTCAAAGCTGCCAGGTCTGCCCCTGAAGGGGTCTGAGTGAGGATCCCAATCCCGGACAGGGGATGAGCAGGATTTATGAGGATATTTTTATTAAGCACAGAACTCCAGCTGGTCCAAAGTGCTGCCATTTTCTGACTCTCCTGCATTTTCCTTGTGTGCTGATTTGCCCTCCCCCTGTGACACACACGTGTTTGCCCACAGCCAGAGGCACTCACGTGCTTTCGGAAGAGGTCGGCGTGGGGGCCCAGCTGCGGGTCGGACTCGCGGATGAACTGCATCACCTCCTCCACCGACCAGGACGAGGGGTCGCGGCCGCTCAGCCGGGACACGTCCCGGGGGCCCAGGTACCTGTCGGAGCCTGCGGGTGCAGACAGGGCTGTTATTCCAGTGGCCCACAGTTACTGACCCTCAACCTACCACTCAGCCTCCTCTCCCACAGCAAGGGCAGAGACACAGCAAGGATCACATCCCAGTCAGGCCCCACATCCTTGCAGCGCAGGTCTGGCACAGAAGCCTTATTCCCTCTCCTTTTCAGGGCAGCCTTCTATACTGAGCCCTTTTCCTCTCTCTCAACCCCAATTTCCCCTTGTTTGCCCCCCCATTCTCACTCCTCCTTGCCTATCAGCTGACAGCTCCCACCTCTGCAGAACACCCTCCCCACTCCCACGTCTCTCCTCACACACCTTTAGCACATTTAACACAGCAAAGCTGGTTTATGTTTTCATTTTCTGACAGGTTGAGCCCACAGGTGACATCCTGTGGTCCCGAAGCATGGCCCGAGCTGACACAAGTCCTGTTCCCAGCGTTCTGGCATCGGCACAGCCCCTTGTCCCAGCTCTGCCCTCACACGCAGGTGGGGGGAGGCACCAGCAGCCTGAGCTTTTGAGAGGCTTTTATTGACACCATGCACCCAAAATCACACTTTTTGCAACCTGATATGCTGATGTGCTGTACTGACCAGCTCAGCTCTCCTGCCCCTCTCCCTCCACACAGACAAGCGCTGTTCACACATCCCACCCTCCCAGCCTCCCCCTCAGCTCCAGCCTCTCCAGGCAGCTCTCGACTCCCCGGCCATTCCCGATCCATCCTCACGGACCCAGATGCCCATCTGTCACTTGGACACAGTTCAACTCCTGCCTGCTCCTTCCTCTCCACTGACCTCCAGGTCCCCCCGGTCACCAGCCACAGGAGCAGTGTCACTGTCCACACTGCCACTCGCCCAGGTGCCACCACACCTCACAGAGCTGGGGGGCTGTGCAGAGCCCAGGCTGGTACTTGCTGAAGTCAGGAAGGTGTAACTGCAATTAGGAAGGCCCTCTATTGCCACTGTGCAGCTGCAGGGCTGTTCTGAGCTCTTACCCCCAGAGCTAGGCCTGCGCAGGGCAGAGGTGCCCTGGCTGAGGCTCGAGGGTTGGTGCAGGTGCCTGTATCCTGGTAGGCGACAGTCTCTGGAGCTCCTGCTGTGGCTGGAGGAATTGACAGAGTTCAAGGCAGAGTCCATAGGGTCCAGGCGAGGCTCCAAGGGCCCTGGGAGGCCATCTCCCAGGACAAAGGTTTCACCTGGAACGCACCAAGCTGCAGTCAGTGCACCCGAACCCCACGGCCCAACGCTCCTGCTCGGGGGCAGAACTGCAGCACTCACTGGCTCTGACCCCTCTCACTGGTCTCCTCCACAGCACAGGGATCAAACCAGGCACTGCCTGGTGTTCACCTGGCAAACGCCAGTCCAACTAGTGGGCAGTGACAATGGTTGGTGCCCAGACTGAGGCAGCAGCTCCTCTGCTCGTGCCACCACCAGCTCGGGCCCAGCCCGGTGCCCTGATGGCCCTGGACCCCTCTGTGGCAGGGCAGGCCTGCGCCATCTGGATGCCAACAGACACAGGACTCACACATAGCCCTGAGCAGGGAGGGAAGGGGAGGTTCCCTGGGGGATCACACACTGCACACCCTCAGCATCAGCGTGCAAGGGACTGGCCCCAGCGGTTGGGATTGGGGTGTGGGACACGCGGGATCCCGGAGGGCAGCACCACATGCAGGGCAGGAGGGGCTGCACTGTCATGGCCAGGCAATGCTCCCATGCCATGCTGGTCCTCCAGCCCCAAAAGCAACATGCTGGTGACCAGCTGCTCATCCCTCCTGACCTCCTGCCCTTTTCCAGCCTAACCACGTCGGAGACCAATTCCCTGTGCCCAGGAGGGACTGGGCTGAGGGTCCTCCCCAGGCAGGGTCCCAGGGCAACAGCAGCTTCCTCACCTTCCTCACCATTGAATTTCCAGCTGTTGGTGGCACTATTGGGATGGAAAGGCTGAGGAGACTATCCAGGGTTGTATCTGAGCCAGCAAGACCTGGCTCTGCTGTTACACTGTGACAGCATCACCTCAGGGCCTCGTGTCTGTAGGTTTTACTATGGCACAACCAAGTCTCAGCCCACGTGGCCCTTGAGCCTCCTGAGTCATCCTTCAAATACCTGCATTCTTTCCTAGGAATTACCTGGCAAGTTCCTGCACCGAGGAGGAAAGCAGCTCCCACACTGAGGGGCAGGGCCAGCGCACTCTGGGGCCAGCACCCCTGGCCAAGGCTGGGGCTGGGGCTGCAGCTCCCCTACCAGGGTCTGCAGAGCCCCTGAGAGCAGCTCACAGCCCTGAGCTGCTGCCACTCCAACACACAGCAGGTGACAAGGGGCAAGAAACCTGAGCCACTGCTCTGGCCAGGCCCTGGGTTTGCTCCCTGGGGCTTCCCAGACCACAGGAGCAGCAGGTGAGAAGCCAGCACAGCAAAGCTGTGCTGAGCTGGGTTGGTGGTGAGGGTGCAGAGTCGATACTGCAGCCTGCGAGACCCAAAAGCTGTTGAGATTTTCCCAAATTCCCTTCTGACATGGTAGTGCCAGGCTCCAGTGAAGGGAGGTGCAGAGCCTGAGCCTAACCCTGAGTGCTGCTGACACAGGGTCCCACCCGACTGGAGAAGCCTCTCCTGAAGGTACCTTATTTGCTGTGGTTTCTATGAACTATGGGACTGTTCTGTGAGCTGGGGTCCTCTGGTCTCAGTGTTCTGCTGTCTGTGTTTGAGTAGAGATCCCAGAGCCAGTTCAGCTGGAAATACCCAGCCCTGACCTTCCAGAGCTTCAGCTCATAAGGCTATGGATTGGGAACCCTCTTGTCTGGCTGTTGGCCAGTTTGGTGAGGCCAACGGGAGATTATCACCTGGGTAACTGCTGTTTTTCCACCTCGGGGGCTTTGTCACTCTGCACTTGAGGCACTGCTGCCTTTTTTTGCTTTTAGGTCTCTGGGACATGCCTAAAAACAGCAGCACAGCCCTGCAGTCTCACTAGAAACTGCTGGTGGTAAGACTGTACCCCCCTCCAGTGACCCGTCCTGTGTCACTCACTTCCCACATGGGCAGGTGTGTTCTCACCTGCTCTCAGTGCATAAAGGGTGGTTTTCTGACTCATGGCTTTTCCCGAATAACTGTGAACCCCTCCTGCACTCCCAGCATCCCATTTCAGCTCCAGGCTGGACACAAAGCCAGCACAGAGTGGCTGCTCTGGCCCTGGGGTGGGTGGAGATCCCCTGCCCAGCCAGACCCACCACTGGCTGTCCCTTACACCAGGGGGTCTCCACTGGAGCTGCTTCTGAGGAACTACACTTGGTCTCCTCTTCAACAGGACAGTTCTGCTTAAACCCCAAACGACTTCCCATTAAACATCTGGGAGAGGGTGCTGTCTGACTGCCAGGAAAGGGCAGAAGCAAGAGAGGGGGCAGTGGGCACAGCCCTGTGCACTGCCACAGGACAGGCTGTGGGCATGGAACAGCTCCATGCTGCACATCTCCAGCCTCCAAGGAAACACAGCCCCCCCCTGAGGTGACACACAGGTTCAGGAAGCCCCGGGACACTCACCCAGATGTGCTGGGTCAGGCACACGTGTTTCTAACTGCTCCCCAGGACCCCAAAGCTCTCCCCACTGTCAGCAGAAGGCCCAGCTTGGGGGGTTGGGAGAGCACATGCACAGGTTCATGTTGGTGCCATGCTGAGGATCCAAAACTCAACCCCAGAAAATACTTCACTCAACAGTCAACACACTGTTGTTATCCTGATGGGAATGTGATGCATTCTGCAAATATGTGATCCTGTTCTCACAGGAACTGTGATCACACACCCAGAGGCCATGGGTGAGGCCAGGCCTGGGGGCACCACGTTGCTTTGCCAGGAGGTGGAAGTGAAGGTACACACTGACCCCCAGGTTCCCTATCCCAGCTCAGGGCAGTGCTTGGCTGGGCTGTGAACTTTGCAGCAGAGCTGGAGGCTTCCTGGCAGGGGCAATGCAAGAGAGATTGAGGGTCTTCTTAAAAATACAAGTACACAGAGAACTGCTGAGATGAACTGACACCTCTAGGAAGGGGAGAGGGAGATGAGGCAAGAGGGCAATGATTACTGTCCCTGTGAGTCATCTGCAGCAGTAAACAACATGCTCCTGGGCATGGGCAGGGCAAGACTGTGCTCAGGCACGATCTAGGATCCTTCACCCTCCACAGCCAGCGTTGAAGGAGGGAGGAGGTGGCTGATTCTTAGGCAGATTTCCCTACACCAACTGCTAGAGTTAACTAAAGGCTGGCAGTTGGCACATTGTAGGGAAACGCACCACAATTAGTGGCGGAGAGGCAGGGAGCAGATAATTAAAGTTTAATTAAACAAATAGTGCTACAGACTCAACAGTGCCATTTTACTGCTAAAACACAGGAGTTTGGCCACAAGCACAAATCTGATTTGCACAACTACTGAACACCCACTGCTTCCAGCAAATGCTGGGCTGTGAAGGCAGGTCCCCACTGGGCTGGGACTGCAGCGTTTCAGCAAAAAGCAACACAAATGCCACTGGATGCAAGAGGAAAAACAATGTAAGAGGTGAGATCCCCTCCTCGTCTCTCTGCTTTGCCAAAGGCATGGTGAATGGGATAACCCACTGCTGCTCACAGCCTTCCATTTGGCAAACTGGGAAGTGTTCAGGGGCTGCTGTCTGTCATTCTGCTGAAGCCAGAGTTCAGCTCCATGAGAAGATGTACCTTCTTGCTCAAGAAATATTCAATATCCAAGCATTTCAGGTGCATATTCTTAAAATATATCCTCTGAAATGCAAGTATTCCTGCCTGCACTTCAGTTTCCTGGTGGAGGAGGACATATTCATTTCAGCTTTTAGCTATGGGATAAGAATGAATTTCTAGGTGGAATCTGGAACTGCACCTCGTTCCTCCCTGCTTGGACCAAGCACAGAACCAGCCCAAGCCGCTGCAGGAAGGTCTCACACTGACAGGATCACCCCCCTCACACACAGACACACTTTCTGCCCACTTGTCTGTGTTTTTCTGGAAGAGGCTGGAGTGTATTGCATCCAGACGGCACAACCCATTCAAAGGCCAAGGGATAAGTGAACAGACTTTGAAGCAGACCAATAATCAATCTTGTAGACAACCTAATGTAGATTCTTCCTTGGAATTACCCATTATGGAAGCCTTCTCTATTCACTGACAATACAGAGTGTGCAATATTCACCACCCAGCTAAGGCACCTGAACCTTTGGAGCAGACCAGCACTTCCAGAACAGGCTGAACTGTGTGTCCCACCTGCTGGGGGAGGAGGAGGGGCTGGGCCATGCTAATGGTACCTCAGTGCAGTGGCTGATGGATCAGAGGGGAATGGCAAAGAGACCAGCACGGATGTGTATTTGGAGGTGAGAAACGGGGGGCCTCAGGGAACAGTTTCTGACTTGTCAGTGTGCTGGAATAGATGAGACAGTCCCCACATATCACCTTGGGTTTCGTTTCAGCTCTGTGACAAACCTACAGTTGTTCTCACTGTAGATACTGAGGCCACCAAAAACTGTCCACCACAGAATCACAGACTGGTTTGGGTTGGAAGGGACTTTAAAGCTCATCTCATTCCACCCCCCTGCCATGGGCAGGGACACCTTCCACTAGCCCAGGTTGCTCCAAGCCCTGTCCAACCTGGCCTTGGACACTTCCAGGGATGGGGCAGCCCCAGCTTCTCTGGGCAACAGGGTGCAAGTTCAGAGCAGCTGTGCTTAGTGACAGGGTCACAGGACACAGTGATGGATGGAGACCAAAATCACCCACAGTGATGGCAGGCTGGGCACTCACACCTGGGATCAGCAACCCCAGCAGAGCCAGGGAGATGGGGATTCTAAAGGGACAGCAACAGAGCACGAAGCCATTGAACTGTGAGCCCACCCAGGAGTCTCCAGCACTTTTTCAGGGATATATTACAAAGAACTGTGATTAACACCTCGGCAGATTTCACCATCCATTAAGTAAAAGGCGTCAGTAAGATTAAATCTCCAGTCTGCATTATGGAGGGTTTGCAGTTCAGAACAAAAGTGGAAGTATTTTTACTGAAGGTTGCTCAGTTCAGGGAGTCCTCCAGCTACTTGGACCTCCTGGAAATGTCCCACCTGCACATGCAAGGGACACCTGTGGATCAGACAGCAAGGAGGACATTCCAGCAGCTGCTGTTGGGAACGTGTGGGCCCAGCACAACAGTGGTATCCCAAGGGACTCTGTGGGAAGCAGCAGCAGGATGTGAATGATCTGGCTGAGCCAGTGGAGCGCATGCCAGTGAGACCCCCCAGCTCTTTCAGGGAGGACTGTGAGGAACAAGATGAGATCCTGGCAAAGGGCAGCAGGTTCCTGGCTGTCCAGCTGCACATCAGCATCTGTACAACACACCCCAGCAAACGCTGAGGGAACAAGCCAGGGCAGACTGACTGGAGCAGCTGGGCAGTTTAAGGATGTTAACGCCATGCACGGCCACGGAAGCCAAACCACGGGTGATTAAACCCCAAATTACACGGTATGAGAGGACGACTATCAGGGTTAGAAGGAATTCCCACTGCATTCCATATGCCTTATGCATCCATGTGGGGAACCTGTCTCACCACAGAGCAGTTCCCTTCCCTCTGGAACACCAGGCACAACCCATGCCAGGGACAAACAAAGCAGCTCCCTGAAGCCATGGCTCAGTCTGGCACGGAAGAGGTGACCCTGCTGAGCCAGGACAGGGCACTGTGAACAGCCAGCTTTGGGAAGAGACGCTGTGCTCACCTTCCAAAGGGTGACGGTCATTCTTTGGTAACTTGGGGGAGAGAGGAGCAGTGTATGGAGGGGAATCTTGGGAATAGCGCTTTGTACCCCGGCCTGGTCCCTGCAGAGAGCCGTCTAACGAACTGCTTCTGTCTAGGAAAAGAGAACAAGCCCTATTTAGGAGTGGAGATGTCCTGGGAAATTCAGTCTTGCCAGAGTCCCTTGAGCTCTGCGTGCATCGCCAGCCCTGCTCAAGCTGCAACTCAGAACATCTGAGAGGGCTCAACAAGTGTTATCAGAGAAAAAGGGTGGCGAGAAACCTAACAAAGAATCTTAGCCATATTTTGCCATATTTTACCCCAAATATCACCCCTAGTTGACTTAATTCCATTTCTCCTCATTCTACCCCTTGGCTCATCCCACACAATTCCTGCTCATCCCACTGTTCACCTTTCAGATGCACGTAACACTTGGACAATTGGCAAACAACCCTGGGATGACTTACACACCCTCTGTGCCATACACAGTGCTGGATTAAACCCCACTCCAGTTTGCAATCTTCCCCCAGTGCACCCCCAGCTGTGGCTGCTGCTCCTTTCCAAGCACACCCCAAGGATGGGGCTCTCTGTGCCGCGCGGGGCACGCGGGATGTTGGGATGGGCTGGGACAGCTCCTCGCACACACAGTGTCGGTGGGTGGATGGACACAGAATGGAAGTGCCAACACTGACGGGGACAGAGCCAGGTGAGCGACACAGGGGGTGGCAGACCATGTCCCAGCTGAGGTGACCCTCCAGCTGCCCCCTGCCCACATGGGCCACTGGCTCCCAGGCCCCTTCCAGTGAGCCCCCAGCACTGCATGCTGGGCACAGAGGGGAGGAATGGCACAGACACGTGCCAGGAGCCAACACCAGCCCAGAGCAGCCCCCAGAGCTGGCACAGGGTGTGGGAGGGGGGACAGGCACGGCGGGGACCGACACCAAGGGGATGCATCACACCCAACACACGGAGGGACAGGCGGGTGGGAAGCACCAGACAGGCACAGTTGAGCTGATTAAGGTGAAACACAGTGGTAGAGAACAGGACCTGTTGTATCAATATCCTTCAGGAAAAGGAAAGACAAGCTGCTTGCCCTGGGACTCCATGTGAGTATGACCCAAAATCACTGTGACATTGTTAAAAAGACAAATTCCATCTTCAGGACAAATCCCTGTAAGAAACATTTACTGCCCAGCAGAGATGGGAACAAATGCTCTTGGTAATGTCTCTGGATATCCCTGTGTCACCCAACCTTCTTCACCCCACAGCCACAGAACCACAACACAAGGTGATACTTTGGAAAGGTTTCATCAGGTTTTGGTTTGGGCTATTTTTTTAAAGTAGTTGATGTTAAAAGTCATGCAAACACAGAAGGTCAGGCTGTAGAAGACAATTCAGCAATCAGAAGTGAGGTTGGTGTAAATTCATGAAAGGATAAACCAAAAATAGAATTTTGGTTTTAAAGGACAAATTTTAAGAAAATAAAGAAATGGAGTAACATCCAGAGCTGCACTCAGCAGATCATTGAGGCAAAAAAGAAAATACCTTCAGTTCAAAGGTGCCATAATTGTCATGAACGTGAATCATCAGAGAGAGAATAATCTGAGAGGGAAGGACCCCAAATCTCAGTGGACAAACGCTCACTTTGAGAAGGATGCCAAGAACAAGCAGGTCATTTAGTGGGATAAAAAGACCCTGCTCAGCACAGAGCTGTGCACCTCAGAGCATGGGGAGTGCAGGGAGGAAGGGAGGCTTTGAACTCATCCTGTGTTTTGAGACAGTGCAAAGGCAAAGATAGGCCTGTGCTTCAGCTACAGAAGGAACGAGCACAGGGGAACAGAGTGAGGGGACTCTGTGCACAAAGGTAAGGGTGAAGAGAAAAGGAAAGCAGGTTGTCCTTGCCTGCAGATGATGGGACAGCTGTGAGGGGCATTTCACATCCCTGACTCGGGAGCCTGGCGGGAGGAAGAGAAGCCCACCTGCCCATGCTTGCATGGTGCTGTGGGCCACCCCAAGGCCATGGGATGGACACCTTCACAGGCAGCCAGAGTCACTCACCTCATCCTGTCAGGCCAAAGTCACTCCAGGCTCCCACTCTGGGACACTGTGCCTTGCACTGATGGCACTGGCACCTCCTCCCTGGCTGCAGAGCACACCTACACACCTGGCTCAGGTGTTGCTCCATCTGGGACACCCACCTGCACTCAGTGTATTTCAAGCTGAAAGAGGGTAGATTTAGCCTGAATATCAGGAAGAAATTCTTCCCTGTGAGGGTGGGGAGGCCCTGGCACAGGTTGCCCGGAGAAGCTGTGGCTGCCCCATCCCTGGAAGTGTCCAAGGCCAGGTTGGATGGGGCCTGGAGCAACCTGGGCTAGTGGAAGGTGTCCCTGCTCATGGCAGGGGGTGGAATGAGAAGAGCTTTAATGTCCCTTTCAACCCAAACCATTCTGGGATTTACTTCCATCTGCAGCCAGGCTGAACACTGGGGCAGGGCTCAAAGGATAAAAGAAACAGGACAGGAATGAAAATGTCCACCACTGACTAAGTCAACTGAATGTTCTCAAACCAGGGACGTGAGGGCGCAGAGGAAGCCAATGATGGTGCACCTGAAACTCTGCAAACTCAGCAAATTGCAACAGAACACACTACTCAGAGTGACTGGAAACATGGTGCCAACATTTGAAACAGAAGGTGAATGATTTTGGCAACAAAATGCCCATGTGTGACCTCAGCAGCACCGCAAGGCTTGTGGCAGGCTCTGAAGGAAAGGGCAGGGAAAATCCACATGGTACATACCATGGCAGATGTCCACCAGCAGACTGACCCAACAGCTTCCCTACTATGGGGAAATCCTGATCTGTCACATGAGGGAACAGAGGTCAGTCTCATTTCCCTGGAATTCAGCAGATGTCAGGCACAGAAAGCCACTGGCTGAGACTGAGAACATGAATTACCAGAAGCCTTGTTCTATGCACAGAAATCTGATTTGAGAGGAAAGGCAGTTGGCAGCACACATGAGGCTGGGGAGCAACTGCCAATGAATCTGCTTGAAGATCATTCTTGAACCCAGCGTCATTTAGTATTTTTATTTAAACCTTTGGCGGAAATTTTAGAGATTTACTGATGAAATCTGCTGATGCCTTCCCATGTCAGGCCAGACAACATAGCATTTGAAATTAAGCAGAATGAAGAACCAGTCAAGAGGTAAATCCAGCAGCCAAATGAAGATGTGCACTTGAAACACTGTCCCATGAGCTGGGAACCAGCAGGTGACAACAGTGGATGAGAAGAACAAGGTATGTGACCAGGACAGGCTGGTCATCATCTGTTACAAGGACACACTGACTGAAAGTGGCTGTAGAGAGATTTCTTGTGACCATGGTGGTGCCAGTGCTGTGGCACCAGGTCCCCACAAGCTCCTCCCCAGAGGGCTGGGTGGTACTCTGGTCACCCCATGAAGTCAAACCAACACTGGCTGAGGAGAGCAGAGAGCAGCCAAAAGATGAGTTCCCCAGAGGGATACAACTGCTTTCCAACTGCTTCCAGAAGAAAGAGATCCAAGTTGAGCTAAAAGACAACGTTAAGACCGGGAGACACAAATACCAAGTTGCCCAAGAATAAATTTTGGCTGGAAACTACAATATAGTTTCTAAATACTCAGCAAAAAATCTTGTAGCAGCTTCTAGTGGAAGAGCAAAATCTGTAACTCCAGAGTTAGTCAAAGCAACCCCACGTGCTGTGGTGCCTGTAACAGCAGGACCCAGGGCTCAGGGGGCCAGAAGGTCCCTCCAGTCCTGTGTTTTCAGATGGCTCCAGGCCAGATCTACCCATTCAGAACATTTCCCAGCCCAGGCACAGCAACCGAATCCTTGCAAACTGTTCCTGATGTACAACTTGACCTGTTTTCCCCTTGTTTCCATGACCATGCCTCACTTGGTAAAACAGAATGGCAGGACACAGCTGACCCAAGGGCTGCTGCAGACCTTCCTTCTGCCCCAAGCACACACACCAATTCTCCACAGCAGCCCCAGGGGTGCTCCTGGAAAGCCAGTTTGTTCTGGGAACTGAAAGCAGCTCCCAGCCCTAGCCAGTGGCTGTTTACTGGAAGAACCAGCCCCATCCAATACATTCCCATCCTGCAGAGGAAGCAAGGCAGGACATGCAGAGCTGAAGGTGAGACCACGGCACCTTGACACTTGGCATGATTTCAGGATGTACAACTGCACTCTCATTCCTCCATGACCAGCCCAAACCTCCCAAAATTGCCGGTACTGTTCCTCTGCCCTCACCAGAAGCCACTGTAACGTGTAGATAGTTATGTTTATCATCTTCTTTCAGGTGCCTGAGAAAGGTGTTAGATGACCAGATGACCAAGGAGCTCTGAGGCGTCAGTATGAACTGCAGGACTAGGTGCTGTCACTTCTCTAGACTGTGGTTAATTTTTCTTTAACCCCTGCAACCATTCAAGAGTTCAGGATGGGCAGGTCTCAGCACTGTGTCAGAACTGGTGCTCTGCTTGAGCTTCCCTGAATTCTGACTTACACTTCTCCACCCTGCCTGGCAGCCCAGCTCTTGGCAGAGCCACCACTGACCTCTCTGGGAGGCTGGAAACCCTGTGTGTGAGCTACAGGACACTCTCATCCATGCCCACACCTGAGTCCTCTCCCTCCCACTCTGGTTTTGCTCTATCTCTCAGCAACAGGTTATCTCCACACTGAAACATGGAGGTTTCTCCTATTTGAGGGTTCCCCAAGGGGCAACCTCCACTCCCAATAACTGATCATGCTGCTCCTGTCCTTGCATTTCCTACAGCTCCTCACAGCACAGCACAGCACAGCTCCCTGCTCCTGGCACTGCTGGCTCCAGCACAGCTCTACTCAGCCATGGAGGAAGCAGAGGATCATCCTCACTCTCTAGACTCTCTAAAGATCCTCTTGCTCATCCCCTCCCCGAGGCTGCTTTGTGAGGTGCAATGAACAAAGCACTGTGGCATTTGGCTGTTGCCCCTACACCTCATGTTTAGCAACTTCTTCCTAAGTGCTCATCCTTTTACATTCCAAACTCTTGCTTTTCTTGTCAGAGCCATAATTATCCAAAGGATTAACTTTGGAAAGACCTCAAAGAACACAATAGCTATTTGCTGACTGGGGAGGCAGAAAGCAAGACAGGAGAGGAGATGACCACTTGTCAGCCACCTAAGAGGGTGCAGACAGCTTTGATCCTCCACAACCGGTATTCCTAGAGCAGGAGCTCCCCCAGAACCCCCAGAAAGCCTGGAGGGGCAGCCAAGCCCCAGGACTGCTGCCACTACCCAGCACTGTGGGGGGAGCTACTGGGCTTGTTTTGGCTTAAGACCAGTTTTGCAGCCTGATGACCTGCACTGTGGCATAAACTGTCTAGCTGGGGCGTGCCAGTCAGTGCAGCAGAGCATCAGCCATGGCAAGGACAACAAAACCACCTCTGCCTCGGATTGCTGCACGAGCATCACCCGTGAAGGGCCACGCTGTCACCGAGGGCTGGACGCGCTGGCAGCGGGTCCACGGCCAGTGTGGCTCTAATTCATTCCTGATTCCAGTTCACCTGCTGCACGTTATCACTCTCATGCACTCGCTCACCTTATTCCTCACTGTATGAAGTCACCATAATCAGATTACAGGGAGCAGGGAGAACTGGGGGATGAGGAGAGGAGGGAAGACAAGGAGACAGCACGGATGAGCGGAAACCTAGAGCGGAGATGGAAATCAAACTGACAGGCAGAAAATGCAGCTGGATTCCTGCAAGAGCCCTGCGGGCATGTGCACGACACTGGGTGTGATGTAATGAACCCTGTGAGAGGGCTCTGGAACACAGCCCTGCCTCCAGAGATAGAGATAAAATCTGGGTTAAGACATGGAGCACTGGGGGTCCCTACAGCGCCGCCCCCGCCCCAGCTCCTACCTGGTAGATACCTGTCGTGGTCGTACTCGTGTGAGCGCTGCATGTGGCTGTTCTGAGAGAAAGGCTGGTTCCCAAAGAGGTTGTCACTGCGCAGATTGTGGCACAGCTTCTCCAGGAAGCGGAGGACGTAGGTGATACTGTTTACTGCTGGCAGGTTCAGAGTGTGCTGTTCCCGATCAAACACAGCTGGAGACAGAAACAAACAGAGCCCAACACGTGAACCCCCTGCCGAGGCAGAGGCTACGCCCAGGGCCGCACAGCTCCTGGATCTCGGCATCGCTGGGCTAGTCTGGAGCCAACAACAGCCACTGCCTGGGGCTGGCACAGCGCCGGGACAGGCCGGGACCAGCCTGCTGCTCCCAGCACCGGGCGGGCGGCAGCGCGGGGGAGCCACGGTCCAGGGAACCGAAAGGATTCCAGGAGGGGCCTGCACTCCCAGACCCGGCTACACACGGGCTTAAAAGGACCATTAAAAACCCAAAAACTGGGGTAGTTCTTTTCTTTCCATGAGGAGCTGTGAGAATCCCCCCCGTTGTGCCTCCTCCCGGGGCCGGGGCAGCGCAGGGGACGGTCGGTGGGGCAGGATGGTGCCCAGGCTGATGCCAGGGCTGCTCACTGCCTGCTCACTGCCTGCTCCCACAGCTGTGCCCGCAGGCCATGGGAACTGCCCTGCTCTGAGTCAGCCACCAGCTGCTGCTTCACTGACACAGATGTGTGGCAAGAAAGAGAAGACAGAACTCTTCTGTCTGCCCCTGGCCTGTGGTTGCACCAGGCTCCAGGACAGACGTCTTCCAACGAGAGAACTCTTGCAACGACCTCTCTGAAGGCAAAGTGCTGTGGGCCCATTCTCACCTGAGATGACCTCTCCCCCGTGGCCTTGTTTTAAGAAGGAGAAGACTGTTTTCTGATGATAAGCACAATCAATGCAGGCCTGTACTGCTTGCTGCAGGACAACAGAAGCTCGAGCTGGTCCAAAATGGTCTGGCAGCTGCTGAACTTTCTTCTTGTCTAGGTGGGGCCCAGTGCTGCCGTTCTTGTTCAAGTAAATGCAAACTGCCAAGGTGAGAAATGTGTTTGCCATTAACCCACTCAAGAAAGCAAGAAACAGATGCCTAAAATCCAATTTGAGAGATGCTGAGATTTTAAGATTATCCAATGGCTCACAAGGGGTAATCCACCACGACTGCCTGTCTGCATCCTCACAGCAGAGCTGCTTCTAGAGGGGAATCGCCTCCAAAACCTTCCTGCCTCACGCTCACTTTCCAAGCTGCTGCTGTTTCTCCCTGCAGTCAGGCTGTAAAGTGGTTTCCACACCAGCCAGGTCATGTTCAGAGGGGATGAAGGAATGCAACTCCCACTTTTTAGGGGTTCCTACAGTGTTTTCTTTTTAGGGAAACTCGGTTCTTTAGGTTCCTCTGAAAACTGGCCAATTACATTCTGAGGAAACAGAGGGCTCAGCCCATATCCAAAGCTTGACTCAACATGTCAAAAGCAGCTTTGCATTAAGACTTTCCTGGCCAGATTCATCCTCAGCTGCACTCACATCTGCAGCAGTGCACACACTCTTCACTGCCACTCCTCCTCCTCCCCTACTCCCTCCTCTCCCTGATTGCCTTGGTATCCTGGCTGGACCTGGACAGACCACAGCCCTTTGGTAACTGCTCTGCCCCTTGTGCAGCTCCAGCAGCTGTGCCTGGCACGGTTTGGGAGAGCTCAGGAGCTCACAAGGGTCGCTGCACACTCGAGTGCCCCCAGGCATGAAGGGCCATGAGCAGTGTCCCTGGAGAGCTGTGGAATCACCAACATGCACATGGGAACTCAGGGAAAGGGGTCTCTGCACTCAACAGGGGGCCTTGCAGTCTTCCTACGACTCCATTATTTCCAAACGGACAGAGAGATAAACGAACAGCTGATCTGGACTCAGTGCCTCTCTCAGGTCAGCCCTCCTGGAGCTGTAAGGATTGCTGGTTTACAGGCTAGGAAGAAATGGGACTCTCCTGGGGTGTCACTGTCTGCCTGCTGCAGTTCCTAACTGTGCAATCCTGTCAAGAATGTGGTCTGAGACCCTTCCTTACCTGTGGGAGCCTGCATGGCAGAGCTGGGGATTGTAGCAGCGTCCTGGGGCACAGTGCTTGTGTCTGGCTCTGGGGTACTGGTTGTTGGAGAGGTGGGTGCTGGGTTCAGCAATGTCCTAGGTTTCCTCTGCAGAAAAAGAGGAGATATTTCTCCTTTTATCCCTGCTCTCCTTTACCACCCGTGATCACTACACTCTCTCCTCTGCATCCAACAGACAAGGCACTGTGGAACATGGCACATTTCTGATGGTGATGACGGGGTGTCCCAAGAACGTAGTAATCAATAGGTGTGTATTTTATAAACCACAATCCTGAAAAATAACAAGCCTGAGATCTGCCACCTCAGTTTGACTCAGACCAGCCACATACGAGGACGGGAGAACTTATTCTACCGTTTGGCCACCCTGTCGTGCTCCCAGCATCTGCCATGCTACTCCACAGCCAGTGCACTTCCAAAGACACGGTTTCTTGATGGAAATGATCTTTAGGACACAGACATTCTCTACAGCTCTGGGGTTGGACTCTGAGGATGCTCCCAGCCCACGTACCCCTCGGGTCTCCTACTTGCTGCAGTCACACAGCCAGAGGCTGAGACAAACGTGCACAAACACACGCATGCACCATCCCATGGCAGGACCTGCAGCACCTGCTGTTCACCCGCCTGCATCAGCATCAGCTTTTACCTTACTGCCAGGCTTGGGGCCTCTCTTTCTGGGGAATTTCAAAGGCTCCACTGACTTGGAGGGTGTAGGCATGGGGTGGTGGATTAGCGCTTTGGTCGTTCGACCACGCTTCTTCCCTGTTTTGCGACGCCTTTGCCCTTGTTGATGCCCCAAAACAGTCTTTGTGCTACTGTGCATGCTAGGTTTCTCCGAGTTTACTTCGGAGGCAGGTAAAGGGCTCTTTGGAATCACAACTGAAATAAAAAGAGAAAAAGCAAATATAATTAAATCAGGTGAGAATCAAAACAAGAGCAGCCTCCATCTTTATACAGAGTCACACGGAAAAACCTGGAGTACTCACAGCCCCCTGAGCGGGGGCACTGCCCTCCATGCCAAAACAAGAACCAAACACACAGATCCCTGGCTTAGCACTCGAGCTGTGGGACACTGGGGCTTGGCCTGGATGGGCTGAACTCCAGAAGGATCACGTTTTCAGCCATACCTTCCTTCCTGAAAATAACTGGCACCTACAGCTCTTCCTTCTGCGAGTGGTGACCTGCCAGCGACCACGTAAAAGGCTCTGAGAGCATTCCTAGGGAAGGATCAGCCAAGACCTGCCTGATAGTCAGGACTGTGCTGGAAATCCCCTCCCTCAAGGCTGAAGTCAAATTTGCTCTGTCCCTAAATTTCCACTGAACTGCAGTGGAAGGGACCAGCTCCATCCTTGATGCCTGCAAGGATCACTGCTCTTGTAATAGCTCATCTCAGCTGGACCAGCTGTCCTCTCCTCTCCTCTCAGGTACTGCCAGAGGCAAGTCTGTGCCTTCTTATCTTCTCACACTTTCCACGACAAAGCCGGATTTCTGGTAAATTTGCCCACAGATCCTCTAAATTTGGTCATTCATCTTTCCCAAGTCCTGCTAAAGGCTAGAGATTAGCTGGCCCAGCTCAGCAGACCGATATTTCCTTCAGTTTTAAAATTCTGCTAAAACGAAACAAACAAACATCCTCCTGTATTCTGAAAAATGCAGAGTGACCTTTAGGATGTCTTGTTTCTCACACCTGGAAACCTCAATGTGTATTCAACATAGGGGCAAGGAGTCAGAAAGATACAAACACTTTTGAAGTGAGGGGCTTTGTAGTTAAGGAAAAAACTCATGGCCAAGGAAACAGAGTGCAATAAAAGATTGATACCAGGATGGCACAACTGTGGGCACATACAGAGATTTTTAGGGTTTCTTTAATGAGGATTTTATGACCAGTTACTGTGAGCAAGGAGTCATTCCCTTGGCACAATGAAGCTGTGGTTGCCCTATCCTGGAAGTGTCCAAGGCCAGGTTGGACAGGGCTTGGAACAATCTGGGCTAGTGGAAGGTGCCCCTGCCCACAGCAGGAAGGAGATGAGCTTTAAGGTCCCTTCCAACTCAAATAACATGGTGTATGCAGGATCCAGCCCCATTCTGCTTGTCATGTGGGCAGGGTAAGATTTAGTTTGAATTTTATTTCCTTGCTTTTGTGCATTAGCATTCTGTATCAAAAGCTGGGAAGAAGAACACAGTCACTCAGAATCTGTCTGACTTCCCAAGTAATGACTTTTTTGTGTCAGGCTGATACAAGGAATTGTGGGAGAAACAGGGTTTTACTACTCCTTGTCTGAAATGTTAATATTAACAGCAAGACTTTGCTGGTAAGAAAACGAATATGAAAGTTCAAGTGCTTCTTGCAGCTGATAGTTTTCCAGGAGAATCAGTGTCACCTGCTACAGGTGACATCTGGCACTGAGCAGGGAGGAATGGCACAGGTGGGAATTGTGGGGGCTCTGGCCTCGTGTGCATGGCTGAAATGTTTGCATTACAGGATTTATCAGAATCCCCCAAGTTGACAGAACAAGGATAAACCCAAGTAAAATGGAACAGGTTGCCCAGAGAAGCTGTGGCTGGCCCAGCTCTGGAAGTGTCCAAGGCCAGGTTGGACAGGGCTTGGAGCAACCTGGGCTAGTGGAAGGTGTCCCTGCCCATGGCAGGGGTGGGACTGGATGAGCTTTAAGGTCCCTTCCAACCCAAACCAGTCTGTGACTGCATGATTCTAAAACATTCCATACTTCAAAGAAAATGTCAAACATCAAAGTGATGTGGAAGCGAAGGTGGGGGGCATTTCATCTGAGATGAAATGCACAATGCTCAGTGTCTAAACCAAGTGCCACAACGAGCTTTCTCTAACCTGGAGGAGAAATTGAGGATTCTACAGACAAGCAAAATCACAGTGATCTCAGTTTTTCCCGTGACAAACCCATAGAAATGGTGCATTTGGGAAGTTGGGATGCACTAGGCAGAGCAGCTGGACTGCAACCTTGGCTCCCAGGCTGGGACCACATTGCTGGGAACCCAGTGCCAGGGAAAAAGAAACTGCTGCCAGGTGAACTCCTGGGGTGCAAGATCTCACTATATAATTTTACAGTAAAAACTGACTTCATCTTTTGGTGAAATAAATGCAAGAAACATCTGGTGCCCACTTCAGCTGTAAAGACAACACAGGTAATGGTAATTTGCCAGGCTTAGAGAATTGGTTTTGGGTTTTGGGCAATAAAAGCCTGTAAGTGGGTGCAGGCAGATCTCATGATGGGACACCTCATGTCATTCAGCTACCCAGAGGAGTTCCCACTGTGCCTGTGCCCCTGGCAGCACATTCTGGTCCCTGCCTCAGCCACAGCTCCTGCAGGGATGCAGGAGCTGCCACAGCTCAGGAGGTTGTTCAACGGAACAGGGAAATTACGTGTAAATGTGCAGCCAGCTCAGGACAGAGACACAGCCTGTGAGCTCTATTGGTGCTGTGTGCCCAGCAGTGGTGCTGAGCACAGCTCTGAGCACAGCCTGTGAGCTCTATTGGTGCTGTGTGCCCAGCAGTGGTGCTGAGCACAGCCCTGAGCACAGCCCTGAGCACACTGCAGAACAGGCACTGCTCTTCTCCCTGGGGCTGCTGCCACCACACTGATGCAATGCACATTTTTCTGACCCAGAGTGCTTTAATGAAATGAGGTCTTCTATTTCCACAATCCAACACCACTCAGCAGATTGCCTGGACTTTTGTTGGATTTTAACCAGAATGCGAGAAAACAACAGCCGGTGCTAATTCCTTTCTCTTGCCCTGCCCGATGCAGAGCTGCACTCATCCCGAGGAGACACCAAGAGCTCCAGAGCAGAGTCATCCCACCAGCTGCACCCACACAGCCACGGTGCAGCCCCCAAAACACAGGATACTGCTGCCCATGCTCTGTCTCATCCCCCAGGCACTGGGGTGACTGGATGCTTCCTAAAGAAGTCTGAAGTTTCCCTTCAGTGGCCTGTTATTTTCCTGCAGGATTTCAAGCCCTGCTGTCACATGGACCTGGTCTAGAAGCACAGGATTGCTGTGGAAGGAGCAGTGCTAAGCACTCAGCCCTGTCTGCACCCAACCTGGCATCCACAGAGCTCCAGAAGTGGGAACAACTGTGCCCAGCAAGCAGGATTATCTCACAGCTCCAACCACTGCTCACATCTCCTTTAACTGCCAAAAGTTTCCATTTACTGCAACTTATTCATATTATTACTGCTTCTCAATTATTAAGAAACTAAAGCTATTAAAGAGTGTCCAAAGAAGGGCCACGAAGATGCTGAAGAGTCTGGAGGGGCCACACAAGGAGCAGCTGAGGGCACTTGGTGTGTGCAGCTGGAGCAGAGCAGGCTGAGGGCAGAGCTCAGTGGGGGCTGCAGCTCCTCCTCAGGGGCAGCTCCGATCTCTGCTCTGGGGGAGCAGGGACAGCACCCAGGGAACGGCTGGAGCTGTGTCAGGGCAGGCTCAGGTTGGATCTCAGGCAAAGGTTCTTCCCCCAGAGGCTGGTTGGGCACTGCCCAGGCTCCCCAGGGCAGTGGGCACAGCCCCAAGGCTGCCAGAGCTGCAGGAGGGTTTGGACAATGCTCTGAGGGCCAGGGTGGGATTGCTGGGGTGTCTGTGCAGGGCCAGGGGTTGGACTCAATGATCTTTGTGGATCCCTTCCAGGTCAGGATCTTCTGTGATTTTGTGATTCAGCTGGAGACAGTGCCAGCCCAACAGTGAGCAGCTGCCAGAGACATCCCCACTTCCTTCTTCCTTGTAGAAGCCACTGAGAGGAGCCACGTTTTCAGAAAATCAAGCAGGGCCCCTCTTACTTAAAAAATCCACAGTTTGCTGTTGCTGAGAAAAGCAGCATCTCTCTGCCCCACAGCTTTGGTGCTCACCTGAGCTCTGAGCAAACTTAACCAACTCCAAAGCTGGCCTTGCTTTAGGTGAGGAGCTGAGCCAGCAGCCTCCAGAGATCCCTTCTGACCTGAATTATTCAGCGATCTGAACTCACGGTTAACCATTTCAGCTCATTATGGGAACAGAAAACTACTCAACAGAAGTTTTCTGCTGGCTGAACTGTCTTGTTTTGGGTCATACAGGCATCCAGCACCAGGGCAGACACGGGGCAGTGAGCTGGCTCCTCACTGGGCTGGCTGGCATCGGATCCATTTGGCACAGTGAGAAACATTCCCCTAAACATCCAGGACCAAAACCAGCTGAACTTAGAGCCAAAGAAAAGTCAGACACCACTCATGGTGTTATTGATCACTGAAGGATTAGTTTACACAAGAATTCTGAGCTCCCTGCAGACACAAAGCGAATTCAGGATTTCAGGCTCTACTTCCTAATGCCAGTGTGTCCCCTGCCAACTGACACATGGCACAGCAGCACCTGCAGTTGCCCACCACACTGTGACTCAAACTGTCACCTACAGCAGGCTCTCACAGTTGCCATCCACACTCTGAGGGTAGTCAGAGAAAGCAGCATTTGTCACCCAAGCTTATCTCAGGCTTGGCACAGCTTGAAGAAGACAAAATTAAGTCCTTGGGACAAGAATTACAAAGCCAAACCATGTAGGAAAATATGGAACAGAAATACTGAAGTTGCAGAAGGTTTCCCGCTTTTCTCTACTATTTACCAGCCCAAACTCCACATCTCCATTTTCTGTGCCAAGAGCTCTGTACTCTCAGGTGCAGTTGGAGCTCCCACACTTCTCCCTGGAGATCTCAGTAGTGATCACTGCAGTGTCTGGAGGGGTAGGGAGTGGTTTCTGAGCAGCCTGAGCACACCACTCATGCCCATCCCAAAGCCCCTCTGAAGGCTGTCCTGCAGGCCACCCCTCCAGGGGTTCTTTGGTGCTCAGCTGCCCCTTGTCCCATCCTCAGCACTGCACAGG